TTGTGTGTGTTTTTAATTCACCTGAAAAAAATTTTTTCCATCCCTTCACTGTCTGTGTGAGTCCTTTGTTCTGAGGTGGGTCTCTGGTCAACAGCAAATATATGGGTCATGTTTTTTTATTCATTTAGCCACTCGATGTCTTTTGATTAGCACATTTAGTCCATTTACGTTTAAAGTTATTATTGAAAGGTACCTGTTTGTAGCCATTTTTATTTTGTGTGCCTGTTTTCTTTCTTAGCTTTTTATTCTTTTTACACCATAACAAAAATTCTTATAAATGAAAATGAATGAATTTTCTTTCTTAGCTTTTTATTCTTTTTACACCATAACAAAAATTCTTATAAATGAATGAATGAATGAATAAATAAATAAATAAGTAAGTAAGTAAAGAGAAAAGGGTGGAGATTTAGAAACATTGCTGAGAGCGAAACATTGATCAGCTGCCTCCTACATGTCCCCTACTAGGTATCGAGCCCACAACCCAGGTACATGCCCTTGACTGGAATTGAATGAAACCCTTCAGTCTGTGGGCCGACACTCTGTCAACTGAGCCAAACCAGTTAGGGCTGTTTTTTTCTTTTATTTCCCTTGCTCAAGAAGACTTACCCAAAATAATATTACTAAGAGCAATGTTAGAGTTTACTGCCTGTGTTTTCATCTAGGAGTTTTATAGTTTCAGTGTTATTTTTAAGTCTTTAATCCATTTTGAGTTTATTCTTTTATATGGTGTGAGAAAGTGGTGTAGTTTCATCCTTTTGCAGATATCAGTCCAGTTTACCCAACATTTATTGAAGAGACTATCTTTACCCCATTCTTGCCTCCTTTGTGATATTAATTTACCATATAGATATGGGTTTATTTTTGGGTTCTCTATCCTGTTCCATTGGTCTGTGTGTCTTTTTATTCCAGTACCTACTGTTTGATTACTATAGCCTTGTTGTAATATAGTTTGAAATCAGATAGTATGATACTTTCAGCTCTGTTCCTTTTCAAGATTGCTTTGAGAACAAAGATAAAGTTTGGAATATTATAAGTTAGAGTATGGGCTTTATGGAATGTCACTTTAAAACATCCGAAGAGGAGATGCTGTTTGTCTTGTGATGGTCTCTGAACCTTTGGCCTCAGAATCTCAGACCTCAGAGGAACAAGAGTAGGCTAGTGATGATGATATTTCTAGTGCTGATTTTACAAGTATTGGAAAAACTACAAGCTTGCACTAACTATTGCTATGGAAGGAATGGCTGCTTTGTGTGGTGTGCACAGAAATTGCCAGCAAATAGGAAGCCCATTAAGAAGATTAAGTCCTTTCTTCCTCTGGCATTGCAGTACCACCTATTCTTGGAATGTAATGTGAAACCAGCTCATAAAACAAAAAATATGGCTTGCTGAGTAAGAGTACTGAAGAATAGAATTGGTGCTGAAAGTAGAAATTATAGAGTTGTGTCTGTCAAAACAGAAAGCAAGAAAGACAGTAAGAATATGTGTATGCACTGGAGATTCTTAATCAAATCGTCATCTTTTAAAGTTACTTGAAGTAAATAATTCTCTACATGGCTAAGCCACCCACTTGATAAGACAGGTTCAATTGTTTCATTTTTGCTTTTGATGTTTAAGGATTTAAATTTTTTAATTTGTATAACTACATATAAAACATTTATATAGTTCTAAAGTAAAATCTGTAGCACAGGGTGTATTCAGATAACTCAGACATCTATCCCCATCTCATCTACCTGACTACCTTGTTTATTCTCTGCCTTATAGAGAATTTCTTTAATGGTTTATCCTTTTATTTTTACTATTATTTATATATAATTTTGAGTAATTTTATGTTTTAACAATATAAGCAAATAAATCATCCCACCCAAACCCCATGTTTTCTTAAACAAGCAGTGGCATGCTTGCTTTTTCACTTTTCTTTTTAAATTTTACTTTATATAGTACTAGAGATCCCTCCCTAGCCATATACATAGAGATCCTTTATTCGTTTTTGAAGCATTGTGTGGAGACTGTTTTAGGGGGGGCATCCTTATTGAAGTGACAGTTGAAGCTAAGAGAGTGGATGAGACCAATCTCCACATCCAACAAAAATCTACAGAATCAAAGGAAAAAGAGTGGTGGTACGATTCAGGGGCATTCAGACAGATAAGAGGATCCGGAGGTTTCGAGGAATCCAAATGATTTCTAGGAAGTAGGAGTGAGTGGCATCAAATGATGTTAGAAAGTTTGAAGATGATAAGACCTAAAAAAGGGAGGTTTTAGTTAATACAAATATTGTCCAGGTAACTTGGAATTCGGCTAATGTAAACCACTGACTGAGGAGGAAATTTTTCCATCCCTCAATCACTAATGATATAATAACAACTTATAGGTTGTGTAACTGGAAAAACTATGTACATGGTGTAATCTAAGCTGGAAATATAGGAGCTATCTTCTTTACCTCCCACGTGCTGGGCATTCTACAAACCAGTCTGTTTTACTTCCATATATATATA